CTCTCTCTCTGTCTCTCTCTCTCTCTCTCTCTCTCTCTGTCTCTCCCTCTCTCTCTGTCTCTCTCTGTCTCTCTGTCTCTCTGTCTCTCTCTCTCTCTGTTTCTCTGTCTCTCTCTCTCTCTCTCTCTCTCTCTCTCTCTCTCCCTCCCTTATTCCCTCCTTCTCCCTCTTCTCCATCACCCAGAATGTTCCTCCTCCTGAGCAAGACCAGAGTGAAGCAGCCTCTAAGTGGAGCTGTCACCCAAATGGCACACAGAAGGGGAAGGAGGACTCCCCAGGCCAGGAAGCATTCCCTGTCTCCCGAGCCACAACCCTGGGAACTGCGAAGCCCCCTTCAGTGTCCAGTGTCAGAGCTCTCTACTCAAACACCACCTCCTGCCTGACACGGCAGAGCCTGATGTCTAGACAAGGCTTTGACATGGTCTTATTGGGGTTGGGGCTCCCCCATTTGCCAAAGTGGCTGAGGATGTCTTTGATGGTGACCCCGTGTATGAGTTTAAACACCCTGTCTTTCCATAATGTAACATAGGGACAAACCAGGTTTCTGGGTTGCAAATAACTACTTTAAATTTCAACAGATTGTGCAGGGAGAGGGGCGCTGGGGTTAGTAGGCTGGATCTAGGACTGGGGGTTGGCACAGATCGTGCAGGGCCACTGAGGCTAGCAGGCTGGATCTAGGATTGAGGGTTTGGCAATGAATGAGGAGACACATTCTGGGCCCTGGCCTCCCTCCTAAGGGCTGCACTTTCCAGGGTCCTGACTCTCTGCTCCATCCCTCCGCCACCACTGAGCACGTCACTGGGCACTCACTCATTGCACTTGGGCACCTGCAGGTAGCTGAGGTGGGAGACACTCTTCACGTTGGCATGGAGGGTGAAGAGGCCACCCAGGAGGTAGTCCCCAGCCAGGTGGAAGTCGGAGTTCTCTATCAGCTCGACTGGCTTAGGCAGAGCATGCAGTAGGAGAAACAGCAAGCGGAGTGTCCTTGCCTGGGGCCCCATGCCAGCGAAGTAACAGCCTTAGAAGATGCCTGGCCTCACTCTGGAGTTGGTCACCCCACACTGAGGCATTTGCACAAACATTTACATAGTGACAATCCTTCCCCGGGGACAGGCGGACATGCTTAAGGGCTTGGGACTGGAACAGAGACTGAAGCAGGATACATTTGTGGGGCCCAGTGGGGCCTTCATGGCATGGGAGAACACGGGCATCTTTATGACGTGTCTGGACCCAGCCTTCTGCCTGAGCTCATGCCTGTGTGGCCACGGGCTGTGAAGATGACAGTCAGCCGTGGTGGCCATGCAAAGTGCAGAAGGAAGGCAGAGATCACCATGGGGACAGTGAGCCCAGCCTCGTCCATTGGTTTGGTGTCTCTCTTGGCATATAAGAAATAGGCATACCAGCTGGCATGCAGCCCAGAGCCGCCCCCACCCACCCAGTGGGTAGAGGAGACTGGGGTATCCCAAGCTCCTTTCCCAACCATCTTCCTTGCTGTGCCCTGATGACCCCTATACCCTCGTGTATCTCTTCAGCCTGGTCTTCTCACCTACCCTCCTGCACACACTGGGCTCTGAGCTGGCTCAGGATGCAGAGGGCTGGACCTCCTCACGGCAGACTCTGTAAGACACAGAGTATTGAGGAGGTCTGCCCTGGTTCCCCACGGCTCAGTCTCCACTTCAGCCTCATGGGATGTTAGGACATCTCAAGACTGGCTGGATACGGTGATGTAGGGCTGGTATCCCAGGATGCAGGAGGTGGAGCCTTAGCTATCTAGGGTGCTGGTTAATTTTTGTCAACTTGACATAGTCATCTGGGAAGAGGGGCCTCAGATGTGGAGTTGCCTCCGTCACACCGGCCTATGGGGAGATCTCTAGGGCATTTTTCTTGATTGATATGGGAGGGCTTGGCTCACTGTAGGAGGTGCTGCCCCTGGACAGATGGTTCTGGATGGTCAGAGTAAACTAAACAAGCAGAGGACAGCAAGCCAATACACAACACTCCTCCAGAGCCTCCAGGTCGCTGCCCTAACTCCCCTCCAAGAAGCACCATAACCTATAAGCTGCAAAGAATCATTACTACTTTGGGGGCTGGAGAGATGGCTCAGTGGTTTGAGAGTGCTGATTGTTCTTCCAGAGGTTCTGAGTTCAATTCCCAGCAACCACACGGTGGCTCACAACCATCTGTAATGGGATCTTTTTTTTGGTTTTTCAAGACAGAGTTTCTCTATATAGCCCTGGTTGTCCTGGAACTCACTCTGTAGACCAGGCTGGCCTTGAACTCAGAAATCCACCTGCCTCTTCCTCCCAAGTGCTGGGATTAAAGGCGTGCGCCACCACCGCCCAGCAATCAAATACGTTTTTATTAAGAAAAAAAAAAGGAAAAGAATCATTGCTTTTGGTCAGCGTTTTATCACAGCAACCAAAAGGAAGCTGGGGAAAGGGCCAGCCTAGGCTACCTGAGACCTTGTCTCAAAAGAAAGAAAAGGAAGGAAGGAAGGAAGGAAGGAAGGAAGGAAGGAAGGAAGGAAAATCTAAGGGGGTAATGAGCAGGCCATTAGGTTCCTGCGGACTCGAGGTGCTTTCTGGAGGAGACAGTACTACTCCACACTCCTCAGCAGACTGCTGTGTCCCAAGAGCCTCGGGGTCTCTCATCTGTGAAAGGCAGATACGACAGCCCGCTGCCATTACCGGCTGCAGAGGAACTGAGCTCGTTCTGTGGCTGGGAGATCACGGCCCCATAGTGAGGTCCCCAGCCCCATGATGTGCAGCCTCCAAGAGCAATCTTTATTGAGGTTGGATGGCCCTCAGTCACCAAGTGTTCCGCTCCGAGGCTGACACCCCAGAACTCTGCCGCTTAATGTTTCATCTGGTCCCCAGCCACTGAGAAGTGTCAGGCTTGAGGCTAGAGGCTCAGGGATAGAGACCCCAGCACCGGTCAGCCTGGACAAGATGCTGTAGTTGTGTCCCTTGGCTCAGCATCCGGGAATGTAAACTGAAGCTCGGGCTATCGTCTCCTGTTACACTGGTATCCAGGCACCCACCTGTCCCTCAGGGTCCTCATCAGGGAAATGGGTGGAATAGGATATACTTTACTAGCTGCTTGAAGGGTGAGATCAGATTATACTACACTGATGGTGTGTGTATGTGCACATGCGCATTCACATGTGCCGGGGGAGTGGATGGAGGTCAGAGCTTCAGGAGCGGGTTCTGGCCACCTACCATGTACGACCCAGGAATCAAACTCAGGTCATTAGGCTTGGTGGCAAACGCCTTTACCCTCGGGGTCATCTTGCCAAACAAGTTAAATTCTCTAAAGCCTTTAGATCAGTGCCTGTGCTCTAGGCCAGCCTGGCCTAGAATCTAAACACGCTGGGCTGATGCCTGAACTAAGGAGGTGAAGCCAGGGCTGGGTAGGAGCAGGTGTGTACTCTGCCACTTCCTCTGCCCCATCCTGCTGAGGCCCCGGGTCGCCCAGCCTCCAGGAGGCAGCAGATGGCCCCTCATTTCTTTAGCTCCTATGCTTGAGTGACAGTGAGCACATCAGTGACTGCGGGGACATCCGGCCACAGTCAAATGGTTCTGTTCAGGCTCAGGGCTGCGGCCGGGCCCCTGGCCACAGCAGGGAAATGAGGGGGCTCTGTGGGTGACCGCAGACACAGGGACTGACACTGGGACCATCCAAAGCAGCCTTGGGAACCCAACCAGGGAGCCTGTCCTTGAGAGCGGCAGCCTCAAGCCCAAGGGAGCCAGGTGGTGGCTTTGAGTCCCCTCCTCCCCCAGTTAAAAAGAAGACCTCATGGGAGCATCATATAGGGCAGTGACACAGGAACCCAGAAGCCAGTGAGCTTGTGGAGCAGACTGCCAAGAATACAGGCTACAGGCACCCAGACTTGGGTTCAAATCTACCTCCCGCTATGCCCACCACCACCCCCGACCTCCGCTGGCCCTGCCACAGAAACCAAACAATGCCCTGGTAGGATCAGCTGTAGAGAGGAGCCTCCAGAGGGCTGGGGTGTGGCTCACTGGTCCAGCTCGCCTGTTACGGGCAAGAGTTGAGGGTCTATCTTCAGTACTGTAAAAGCAACTTGATATGCCTATGATCAATTGGTACCATCCATTCAAAAACAGAGCTATAAACGCCGACCTTCCCTTCTGTGAGACACAGCCAGGACACCCGTACCACTGTGTAGAAGAGGTACTGGCAGCCAATGAGCGTGAGCCCAGGGCTTTGTGGATGGACACGGCCCTTCACCGCCTCCTTCTGCAGGAATCAGTTCCAAGAGCCACGGGAATGGATCTCCCCAAGGTGGACACAGGAGTACAGCAGAGAGATCTGGGTTGGCATCCCAGCAACCCCAATCTCCTGGGAGGAACTGTGTCAGCTCTGCCTCAGATTCCTCATGTGTAGAAAGGGATGGAGGCTGTACCTGCTAGTGGGGCTAAGTGTAGGAAGACACAGAGTCCTTGACGTGTGTATTAGCCAAGGTTCTCCAGGGGACATGGAATCCGTGGAGAAGGTGGGCTTGAAGAGAGGGACGGTGGGAAGATGAATGGGGCAGGCCAGAAAACCAGGAAGAACCGGTTATCTCCGGGAGGGGATGTCAAATTCCCCACCTGGGTGAGCTAATCCACTGTTCTATTTAAACATTCAATAGATAAGGCCCACTCACAGTACAAAGAAAAGTCTGCTGTGCTTCTTAAAGTCAGGCCTGGAGATACAGACCGGTAAATCCAGAACTCAGATAGCTGAGGCACCAGATTCAAGGCTAGCCTGGGCTACCTAGCAAGACCATGTCTCCAAACAAGTTAGAAAGATGGCCTGTCAGATAGAGCACTCACGAGCTCTATCGGGCAACTAGAATTTAGATGTAAGCTCACAAAGGCCTGTAAAGCCAGCCCCAACTATTCCGATCACCCGTTCTGGCTTCTGTGGGCACCTGTACAAACATGCAGGTACATGCAAAAAAAAAAAAAAAAAAAAAAGCACACACAATCAAAACGTAAGAGCCCACTTATTTAAGCTTTACTCAATTCAAGTCACCTTCATAGAAACTTCCACAACGGCTGACCAGGTCTCTTGGGACCGTGGCCCAGCAAAGCTGACACACGAGGTCAGCCACCACAGCACACAGTGTTGGGGAACAAACGGGTGATATTTCTGATTGCTGGGAATCATCACCATTTTAGACATGGGAAGTTGGAGGATTTACATGATTTTATTTTGGTGACCACCTTGCAGGGGCAGGGGAGTGAGACACAAAGCCATCTCTAAACCCAGCCACAGGCTCCACTCCCAGTCAAGGCTCTACTCCCTCCCTCAGCATCACACAGAACCACGTGACAAGATGCTGGCAGGTTGTTAGATTAGGAGTAAGAAGCCAGTCCGCCCCTCACCTCCCTCCCCCGCCATTTTGAGTAGATATCTGGCATTTTCTCGGGCGGAAGTAAATGTGCCCTACCTCCCTCACAGTATAGAACCAGCAGAATTGGACATTTGCAGTCCAGTCCTGCCCCCTGGGAAGCAACCCTGAATGGAAGCATAACACAGAGCTAGCCTGGTACTGGGACCCGCCCCTGAGCGTGGCCAGGGTAGCCCTTGGTGACAGCTCCATGTGGACCCCTGGCAAGTGTCCTTGAGAGGGAAGTCTGCGTGCTCCTGAACCATTAGAAACATTTGATTATCCAAGACCCAAGCGGGAGCTCATCCTGACAACCACTGGGCTGGCTGCATCCCACAGAGTATGCAACGGAGGCCCACTTCAAGGTTTCCCTGTATGGGATGGCCACCACTGGTCACTCCCAGCAGGTGGCCAGGAGGGAGGAAGGCTCAGGGACAGGCAAGCACCCTGGAGGAAGGCACATGGGTCTAAGGCATATGGCTGCACACAAGTACCTGTAGGAGGAGTTAGCACAGACCAAGGGGCAAAGCCAGCTGGTGCCCCTGCAGCATCTGGCTGAGGTCCTGTCTTACTGGATATGTGTAAGGGACAAGGCCTAGGTCAGGAGTCTTTGAGTGGTGAAGCAACAGGACACCAGAGCTGTCTCCTTCCCCGACAGGGTCCTGAGAATATTCCTCTCTGTTCTGAGGGCCTCTGAGTCACCAGGACCAGAATGAGATGAGAAAAACAGACAGGCAGACAACCTGCCATGTACCAAGGTGTTCCGCAGAGAATGAGATTTCTGGGTGGGTTGGCTGATTCTCCCCAATATGACCCAAAGCCAAAGCCTGGGCACCCAATAGCCAGGACTGGGTCCAGCTCAGCTTTAGAGAGTCCAGGAGGAGCTGGCGGGGAGCAGGGGGTCAGTGCAGAGATGTCAGTCATCTGGATGGACAGATGGGTTGACAACAGAGGTGCTGGACAAGGCTCACTGCATGTAGGAGTATCGCCAGTCCCCCAGGGGCTTATGAGTCTCCTTGATGACCTGGGGTGACGTCCAGCGTAAGATGTAGTGAGGGCCTCCTGGTTTGTCGTTGGTTCCTGTGGGAAAGAGAGTACACAGTGGTTCTTGGCAGCGAGAGAGAGAGGTGACAGGTAGGGGAGCTAGCATGGTGAATGGGGTAGCACAGGGCTAGCAGCTAGAGGGGTGAATGGTGGCTCTGTCCACAACACACCCTTCCCAGCCTTGGGTCTTGCTGAGCATGTCAGGGCAAAGTGTGCATGGCCGGAGGGTAGGTGAGAGGCTGAGGCTCACAGTAGCAAAGTAATAAAAACACTAACCAGCCAAAACCAACACTGCCCATCTAAGCTGTTCTTTAGAAATGAAGGAAAGACAGACAGTCCAAGAATTTGAGTATATCACTTGACCACAGGAAGTAAGTAAGAGAGGAAGAAAGGACTATATAATAAAACTAAGAGCCAAGTCTTAGCTATCAATGATCAGCATAAATGTAAATGGGTTAAATTCTGCAATTAAAAGTCTAGTGAGTGAATGGATTTTAAAAAACAAGACCCAGGTTGGAGAGGGAGCTCTGCAGTTAAGAGCTCTTCCTGGTTTTCCAGAGGACCAGAGTTTGGTTCCCAGCACCTACAGAAGGTAGCTCACAACCTTCAGCAGCTCCAGCTGCAGGGGATCTGACACCATCTTCTGGACTCTACAGGTAACTACACACACACACACACACACACACACACACACACACGGCCTGTTACTCATATACACATATATACTTTTTAAATTACCTAAAACAATGTGGATGCCTTTAATCCCAGCACTTGGAAGGCAGAGGCAAGTAAAGCTCTGTGAGTTCAAGGCCAGACTGGTCTACAGAGCAGTTCCAGGCCAGCCAGGGCCATATTATATAGTGAGACCCTGTCTCAAAAAAACAAAACAAAAAACCAAGACCCTGGGCTGTTAAGATGATTTAACAGGTAAAATCGCTCTCGTCGAGCCTGATGGGCTGAGCTTGGTCCCCGTGACCCACACGCTGGAAGGAGAGACCTAACTGTGACAACATGATCTGTGGCTCCATACGTGCACTGTGGCACACACATGCACACACATGCTCATTAACTAAATCAAAGGGTTTTTTTTGAGAAAGGGTCTTACTGTGCAGCCTTGGCTGGCCTGGAACTCTCTCTCTGTAGACCATGATGGCCTTGAACTCACAGAGACCTACCTACTTCTGCCCTCCAAGAGCTGGCATTAAAGGCATGTGCTATCATACCCAATTCCCCCCAAAATACTTATTTTTAAGTAAACAAATAAACACGACCCGATTATATGTTATTTAACAGAAACTCACTTTATCCCCTAAAGACACAGGAAAAGATATAAATGGAATCTCAAAGACAGAGGAGTCGCACACAACAGACAGACTCTAAACTAAAACTAAGCTAACATCCACAGCCCTCCCCCAATGCCTCAGTTTCCTCCTCTGTACAACAGGAGAATGGCCTCCAAGCTTCTGAAGTTCCTGAAAAGACTACGTTTGGACATTCATACACCCCACAGTGAGCTGTTCTAGTCTAACTCACACCCCCAAAGTAATGACCTATGGCCTCTGACCGAGACTCGCCTCCCACTCACCTGAGGCCCGGGAGCCCCCGAAGGGCTGCTGGCCCACCACGGAGCCAGTAGACTTATCGTTGATGTAGAAGTTACCAGCAGCATTCCTCAGCATCCTCGTGGCTTCCTGGACAATTGCTCTAGGAGACAGGACAATAATCACAGGGGCTGCCAGTTCTGAGTCTGGCCTCCAACCCCTGAGAACCCATACTAACTCCCACTAAGCGAGCAGCCATGTTAGGAGCAGGACACTGGCCAGCTGCTAGAGTGGGCCCTGAGGCTTGGCTTTTCTCCTGAGAAGGGGATCAGCTCACTAGCCTTCTGGAGCCACCGGGAGGCCTGGGTGGAGAGCACAGAGGGTGAGGCCACAACCGGCCGAATGCAGATGACGGGGCCGGTCCCCAGTCTAACTCATCCATTTCACTGAAGGAGGGCAAACACCCAGAGCCTATGCTTCCTCCTGGGCTCCCACTTCCTGAGGCAGACAGAGGGGCTATGGGACCAAGGAGGAAGGAAAATATAAAACTTCAAAGTCAGGGTGGCAGGGCCCACATCAGATCTGTCTCCACTGCAGCACAGGGCAGGGTGGTCACCTAGCTCAGTGGGGCCCCCAACAGGTCGGTCATGAGCTGCCCCAGGCCTGTCCCTGAAGATTGAGACACGGTGGTCACCATGGGCTCCTGATAGCTACGTATCTAACAGGCTGGCCTGCTGTGTGTCCATTTGGCCTTTAGGTCTAAGCTGAGAGGACTGAGGAAACGCTCTGAGGGAAAGCAGAAGAGGGATTAGCAGACACTGAGTCCAGGAGGTGAGGTCTTCGCTGAACTGGCAAGGGCGGTACACCATCTCTGTTCCCACGGCTGAGGCCACTCACTTATCCTGGGCGAACACTGCCCCCGTGAGGCCATAGCTGGTAGTGCTGTCAACCAGCTGTAGTGTCTCTCGGTATTTATCATCCGGGTACACATACACTGTCAGCACAGGACCAAAGATCTCCTGGGAGAGGAGAGGAGAGGAAAGGAGAGGGGTTAGTCCCTACGATGTCCCCATCTGGCCACCCTCTCCACCATCCCAGGCCTCAACCCACACAATAGCCCAGACCATGGGCAAAGAGGAGCCAATTCCTCCAGGTTCCCTCTGGCCTCTGTGTGCCCAGCAGAAGATCCAGAACCTTCTGGCTTCCCTGCCATATCCTCATGTAGAGCAGCCAGGCCCTGGGGAGTGCAGGAGGCTCACTCAACAGCAAGTGCTAAGGCATCCTCCCTCCTCAGGGCCACTCTCCCACTAAGGGTGTGCTTTCTCTGGTCCCGCACCCCCATCCCATCTCAGGCATCAGCCATGGCCAGACCATAGCCAGCCTGCGAGCCCACAGCTGCCATATCACACCGGGGCTTCGACAGCTGTGGTGATGGCTTGCTAGGCCACAGCCAGCACTGACGGTAACAGGGACAGAGTCTTAGACAGGCTTGAGCTCACTCCAGCTGTGAGCCATTCCGGCCAGCTACCCCTCGTCAACCGTGAAACCAGACAGCATCAGAAAGTAGCACGGTGCCGCCGTGCCCAAGGACAGCCCCTGGCAATTACCTCCTTCATGATGGGCTCCTGTGGGTCCTTGCTCTCAATGATACACGGTTCCACGAAGTAGCCCACCGACTGGTCACACTGGCCCCCCGCCAGGATGCTGAGGCTGGACGAAGAATGCGCATGGTCCAGCCACTTCTTAATGCGGCCAAAGGCCTAGGGCAGGTGAGTGGGAGCTTCAGAGAGAGCCCCGCCCCACCTGGTACTCACCCCAAAATACCTCTGCCTAAAGGTGAGGGGGTCAGGGTTGGAGACACTGAGGGCCTGACTAAACCATGGTAGCAACACAGAGAAGAATCCATATGTGTATGTATATATATAGAATGTATGTGAACGCATGTGTGGTATAGTATGTTAGTATGTATAGTATGTATAGTAGTGTGGTTATAGTATGTGTGGTGTAGTTTAGCATATAGTATGTATCTGAATGCCTGTGTCCATGTAGCATGTGTGTGGTGTTTACACAAGTACGCATTGTGATATGCGTATGTAGGTGTATGCTGTGTATGTCTATGTGTATGTATGAGTGAGTATGCTGTGTTTTTGGAATGTGGGTATATGTATATAAGCATGTGTTATGTATGTAGCGTGTGGGCATGTACAGGGGGGCTCAGACCACAGTGGTCCTTACATACCAACATAGTCTGAGATAAACACACAGAAAGGTGCATACACAGCTATGTGTTTACACGTAACCACACAGTTAGCTAAGATGACAGGCATGTGGCCACAGAGACGTGTTTTCAAGGCCATCTAGCTACACAGTGGTCCCAGAGTGGTGCTCTCAAGTGCACATGTGTGGGCCTGCCACTTTAGGGGCTTGCTGAGCCTGGTTTGAGGGTGTGCGGGCAAGAGCAACTTCCCGCCACGAATGATCCGGCCCTCTTCCAAGTCAGGGAGGTATGTGTCTAGTTACAAGCAACGCTGACCAGCCTGTCCCTCTCTGTCCTAGATCTGTGCCCAGCACCCCTCCCCCAGAATGCACTGCACCTCACCTTGGCATCAATCACTGCGGAGAAGAAGGTCCCAAAGTCCTCTGAAGGCTGAAGATGAGAGAGAGAGAGAGAGAGAGAGACATGAGAGAGAGAGAGGAGAGAGAGAGAGAGAGAGAGAGAGAGAGACATGAGAGAGAGAGAGGAGAGAGAGAGAGAGAGAGAGAGAGAGAGAGAGAGAGAGAGAGAGAGAGGAGACAGTGTAGGGCACAGACGAAGGGATCTCTTTCCCTATATGCACCCCACCCCACATGCACAGCCCCTAGGGGAGGAGCCTCAGAGAGCCAGAGAGAGCCGCAGGGAGGCACTCAAAGAGCTGGAGCCTCCAATCCCATCAGCCACCTGCTGTGCGAGCCCAGGCCCCACTCACGTCCCCCACTTTGATCCTGCTGTGCTCCTCCAGCAGTCGCCCTTTGATCTGTGGCCACAGCGACTGCGGCACGTACAGGCGCGAGCAGGCGGAGCACTTCTGACCGCCGTACTCGAAGGCCGAGCGCAGCGTCCCGCTCACCACGCTGTCCACGTCGGCCGAGCTGTGCACGAAATGGAAGTTCTTCCCGCCACACTCTGCGGAGCACGGGGTGTGTGGACATGACTGGGTGCAGCCCCGACCACCGCCCACACCAATCCACAGCCCCACATCAGAGAACATCCTGGGAAGCCACGAGCCAGGACTGCTCCACTCCCCGGCCGGGAAAGCAAGGCTGGGGGGAGGGGACAGGGGAACAGAGGGCGTTGGTACCCACTCTCTGTCACAGAGAAAACCAAACGACCAGAGGAACGAGCACAACAAACCAAGTTCCCAAGGGCCCACCCATTCCTAAAGGAGGACCAGGCTTTCCTGAAACCTCCCCGGGAAGCCCACCTACTCCTTTACAGACCTTCAGACAGGTCACAGCACCCTCCCGCCTCAGTTTACCTACTCAGAAACAACAGGTAACACCAGCCAGCCAAAAGCACACACCTCCTGCCAGGTGCCTGAGGAAGCACCTGAGCTGTCTCCTCAAATCTCAAGGACCACGTCCATTGCCCTGCCCCCATCTCAAGGATGAATAAACTGAGACACCTTGATGCAGCCACTGGCTCCAGGTTGGGCCATGGCCCTGGGAAGGAGAGGCTACCCCCTGCCCTGCAGGGTCCGTGAGATGCGCTGGGAAGCTCAGTTGCTACAGGCAACCCAGGCACACATCAGAGGCCAGCTAACTCAGGAAGGGCCTTCTCATGGAAGAAGAGAACTAAGGGTTAACACTAAGGGTTAGACGGCTGAACCATCAGTCCCGGCTTCTACTGTCCAGTGCACCCCAGGCAGAAGTTCTTTGAGGTCTCAGCAAGGTGTGTGCTACAACTTCTAGCCCATGGGGACTGCGCAAATTGGAGTTCTGTGCAAAATAGGGTTCCATGGCCCAGGGAGTTTGGGAAACACTGCCTAGCCTGTTACGCTCTCCGAATATATAAATGGAATACTAAAAGCTCTGGGAAGCCTTGTGGGAAAAGACTCCATTGGCTTTGCCTCACACAGCGTGGACCAAGTTTATGTGATCAGAGAACGGTTTCTCAGGAGAGTTACCACTGTCAATGAGAGGCCACTCTGCTGTCCTCTCAGCCGGTTGCCTCCTCTCCTGTCCCCCTCCACACCACACCCACAAACGGGCTGCTTCCTCCCCTGCTCAGACCGGTGACACAGCAGTCCCCAGCCATGTGTGCTGCCAACGCAAGTCTAAAGGACCACAGCTCTCAGTCCCTGTCACAGGTCTGATTAGGTGGTCTGTGCTCACACATGGCTCCTGGGTGGAGGGTGAGGGGGAAAAGCAGGGCTTACCTCCAGCCAGACGTGGGAAGGTATGGAACCGGTCCAGGTTCTGGGCCACCTGCTTCCACAGGTGTTTGAAGGTGCTAGAGTCAAGGATTTGAGTGTCAAGGAGGCTTGAGAGGAAGGGACTAAAAGACCTGGGGGAAATGCCTGAGGGACTGCACAGGGGTGAAAACAGTGCTGGTCCAAGCTCTGACACAGGGCTATGTGACCTTGGGTTCATGACTTAATGTCACCAAGCCTCCAATTCTGAACCTCACCTCACCTACAAACAAGAATGAGCTCCGTCTGCGGGGATTCCAATGTGAGCCCAAACTTTGGCTCACAAGCAATACCCTGTGGCTATGGGGGGCATCCTGGCCCAGGGCCTGGCCTGACAGACATAACCAAAGGCTCAGGCTGCCCTGACCTGCCACCCCTGAGACACAGCCTCCTCCCGGGGCGTCACTGTGACCAACCTCAACACCACAAAACAATAAAAATGCTAATCACCCGGCACAGCAGCTAACGGTAATTTATGACTTTGCTACCTTCGGCCTAGCAGCTTGCCAGAGCGTGGCAAACAGGGGGCCAGGCCCACTCTGCCTGCTAACAGGCAGAGACCCGAGCACTGGCAGAGCAGGCCTCTAGGGAAAAGGCCCCGTCAGCACTCCGCAAGCTCCCACCCACACCCGCGATCCGAGCATGGAAGGTGCAGAGAAGCCACTTGCAGGTGCCACACAGTAAGGTCTGCAGATGTTAAACAGGACATGGGGCTATCCCAGTCAACTCCACCCACATACCCAGAAGGTTCCTCAGTCAATGACCTACACATGACTCAACTGCCCCCAAGCCTGTACGCCCTGACAGTATCATACCCCATGCCCTACCCCACCCCTCAGGGACTTACGGCACACTGCCTGTAAAGTTGATGCCACAGAGGTGCTCTGAGCTGGTGACCGTGTCCCCAAATGTTGGCCCATCAGCTGGCACAAATTGGATTATGTTGGGGGGCAAGCCAGCCTCCCGGAGGATGCGGTAGACAGCGTAGCTAGCCAGCATGGCAGTGTCACTGGGCTTCCACAGAACCACATTGCCCTGTCAAAAAGATGTCAAACACGACTCACAAGGTGGAGGGAGACCAACCATACCAAGCCATGTTCCCCAGCGCATAGCACGATTGTCCCCATCAGAATCCACTTCAAGCTCCTCCTAAGCTCACTGATACAATGTCTGTGCTGTTTCCCAGAGGCCTCTGTCATGGAGGGCCCAGCCTTCACCTCTGACTCTGGCCTAGGCTCTCTTTCCCTGCAAGCCCAGGCCAAGTCTTGCCTTCACTCCAGGCTATGACTGTTCTCAGTGTTCTGGGCCATTCCAGGGTGTGGCTGGACAAGTACTCACAGATACATGCACGTGTGCTGAGTCAGAGCACGTGCACTGGGTGAGAGCACGGGCAGCATCCCTAGGCACCAGGAGGGCCCATTCCATGATGCACGGGGCTGTCCCTGTGCATACACAGAGAACACACACGCCATGCCTAAGGCCCAGGCTGCTAGACCAACAGCAGCTCTCTTCCTGGCTGATCTTAGATTCCCCCACATCAGCCTGGGAGCTCCCGCAGGAACAGGCGCCCTCACTCAACAATGGCAGTCAATCTTACGGTTTTCATTTCAGCTGCAAGACATCAGGCCTCCAAATTCCTATCTGTTCCTCCACAAGTCCCTGCTGTGCATCTCCAGTGTCACCTGGCAAAGAGGCACAGGGGCAGCCACCTCTCTCATTGCTTTTTAAATTAACTGACATCGTCAGCGCAGTGTCAATGGCTGCCACATGTATGAGCCCTCTAGGTCACCAGCAGCAGCAACAGCAGCCATCAGATCCAAGGCTCACTCTCAGCTGGACCTGCCTGGCATCTAGCACATCTCAATCTTTGTGAGCTGATGGCATGAGCCCTGACACACACACACACACACACACATCCTGCTCGACAGAGGAAGTAACTGTGTCTCTGAACTTGGGTTCTGCCCTGGTCTCCCACAAACGGACAAGGTTACAAGATAAACCAAGAGTTGAAATCCAGAACATATCCACAGTCCCAGCTGCTACCCTCTGTACTTCTCCTGTGACTACAGGCAGACGGTCTAGGTTTGTTTGAGATCCAGGGAGTGACTAACTGGCCCTTGTCCCTCCCCACACCCTCTCCTCACCATTAAGGCTGGTGCGCCTGCCAGGTTGCCTCCGATCGCGGTGAAGTTGAAGGGAGAGATGGCTGCCACAAAGCCCTGAGGAAGAGAAAGACATGAGGTAAAGCTCAGTGTTCCTGGGAGGCCCGTGGCTCACTGCCTACCCTGTGGTACCTCCAGCCCCCGGTACACCACGTGGTTGGTACTGGGTGGCACGCTGATGGGTTGCTCTCCCTCCAGTTCCATGGCGAACTTGGCATTGAACCTGAAGAAATCGATGAGTTCGGCCGCAGCATCAACCTCTGCTTGGATCACGGTCTTGCCCTGTTAGGATGGTAGCCCAGCTTCAGTGACACCAGACAGGCTACAGCCAGCCCCAAGAAGGGAACAAAAACCTCCAGTGGGCTGACCATGCTTGGCCCCAGGACTGAGGAGGGAAAGGACCTGATTCTCAGGCATCCCAACCTCTCATCAGACAGACAAATACACACTGGGCCAGAAAGCACCTACTGACCATCTCGTAGAGATATGCGGCTCATAATTCTTTAGCATATTGTTAGTGTGTGTAGCCTGGGATGCTAAGGCCTTCAGAGCGATTCCTAGAATCCCCTGAATCTCAAGCCAAATAAAAAGGGATCCCAGTGTGACAGCCCACACATCCAGCTTCCTGCCTCACATCACATGCTCAATGCCGAAAGGAAGGCGAGGAGCTGTCATCCCACCTCCACGCAGCAGAGGGCGCTCTCACCATGGAGCAGGTGGCCAGCCTGGGGTTTTGGTGGCTGTTAGTTCTCAGGAACTCAGGCGAGCGGTTCCTTAAGCGGACTGAACCTCTCTCCCTGGCTCCTTCCTCAGTGCAGTGCACTGCTCACTAGACAAAACCATTTCTCAAATCCCATTTCTCATTGGACAACTTAAAAGATGAAGATCTAGAAAGGCGCCTCTCCCACGGGCAGTAAGTATACACTTAACAGCCCGCTGCAGCCTGAGCTTTAACTGTAACCAACACCAAACACAGGGCTCCAGACGGGAGCAGAATGGCCCTTCTGGGCCTGGAATGCCAGGAAGCCCGAGAGGACAGAATAGAGCCAGGCCAGATGGTCAGAGTCCCTTCTAGGCAGGGGACACTGAGTAGAGCCAGAGGAGGCCTGAGCTCCCCACAGACTCCTGCTAAGTCTAAACTCACTCCATCATGGGCAGAACAGCCTGGCCGGAAACAGAAGAGTGCTGGGAAGCATGACAGACGAAGGCTAGAGGGGCCCGAGGTAATGGGGTGAGGCCCTTGGGAGAGACCCTGGCGGTCCCTGAGTCAGCAACTCTGTGGTTGTTTAAGAGCTCCCACTGAGGGCTGCAGGGGCCTGGCTGAGCTGAAGGCAGAAACTGGCACAAGTTCCAACCTACAGCGTGTGAGCCCCATGTGTCCCAGGCTGGCAGTGCATGCAGCCTGACACCTTTGTAGACAGCAGTGCCATACCAACGATGCCAGAAGGCTGGCCACTAGTAGGGACTGAAGTGACAAAGGTGTGGCCCAAAGTAGGACGGAAGGAATGAAGGGGAGGTGACGTGACTGGCCATGGCAGGACACATGGGCTCACCATAACCAGCTGAGTCTGGTGACTAAGTTACATCCTGACTCCTCGGCCCTGTCCCTGGGGAACATCTCTAAGTCTCCAACAGCTCCTGGCACACAGAAGCTGTGCAGCTAATGTCTGGTGACAGGAATGGAGTGTGACAGCCCGACTGGGCCTGTCAATCCTCACCTGTCCCACCATGGTCTTGGCAAGGACTTCAGCCCTCCGGGGCCCACTCAGCATATCTGCCGCCCTCAGGAAGATCTGGGCCCGGTCTGCCACGGGCTTCAGGTCCCACTCTTTCCTGGCAGCCAAGGCAGCTTCGATGGCTTTGTTGAGCAAGGCCTGGACAGAGAAGTAAAGGGTCGCCTTCTGCTTTACACAGCGGGGCACAGAGGGGGGACCAGGAGGACACTAGCTACCAACAGAAGGCCCCCCAGTCCTGTCCACACTGCTACAGACAGCCTGTCCTGTTGTCACTGTAAGGCTCCTGTCAGGTTAGTCAGCTGCTACAAAAGAAAGCTCCTGCCCCACAGTCTCCCAAGGTCTAAGAAGTTACCACACCCTCAGGATCTCTGACACTCCGGCCTTGGGGTCAGAACCACAGCTTGACACACATACTAGCTACAGGTGACCCAGACCCCACCAGCCCTCATTACCATGTGGTACCAGCCCCTCCCATGGGCTCCCTCTCCCTCACTCTCGGCCTGCCTTTCCATCTACCTCTCTAACTGCTCTGTCTTACAGAATCTACCCTGTCCCTGAAAGACCCGCTCCCCAGGTCAGCTCCAAGTGGCAGGCACACTAATGGGAATATTTGGTGCTATTGCCACTATGATCAATAAAGCTAAGGTTTGGCTCTGGTTATATGTCTGGTTCTGCTGTGGACTCAGCACAAAGAAAGACCCCAGGGTCAGGGAGAGAGGTGGTGTGGTCCACTCCCACCGGGTGGACCAGCCATCATCACCAGGGACTCAGGGACTCACCTTGTCAGCATAACAGAACTTGGCCACCTTGTGTCCATGATTAAAAGGCTGAAAGAAGAGGAGAGGGGGTGTCGAAGTTCATAAGTAAGGCCAAGACCACAGAGTACCCGGCTCCCTTTGTCCGTTATCAGCCTCTGTGGTCACTCGGACTTGCCTGAATCCCACCCAGACCATCCACCTACGGCACCAGGCCACGACAGCTCTCTCTTCCTCCTCCCTGGCTCTCCGTGCCTAGAAGCTATGCACCCAGCCTCATTTAAACATTCTTCCAACAGGCCGGTGAGACAGCTCAGTGGGTAAAGGCGATTGTCACTCAAGCTTAGTCATGTGACTCCAATCTCCCAGAACCCCATAAAGGTGGACAGAGAGAACCAACCCCACAAAGTTGTCCTCCGGCCTCCACAGATGCCCTGTACTCAGTCACAAAGCTAGTGGGAGCATGCAGAGAAAGATAGGCTAGTTGTTCCAAACGGCATTCAGTACACAGTGCTCTTAGAGTTTTGCCTGAGTAGACTCACTGGCAAAAAGGCTAGCCCCTCAATCTCCCCGCCTCTGACTGTGCGACCCGTGAGCTCCCTGGTCTGCTGACAGCCATGGTGCTTTCTAGAGGGCTGAACCCAGCTGGCAACTGACCTATGGGAAGAAGCCACCAGGGACACGCACACCCTTCCCAGGCTCCTTGATGTGGACATGACTCAGGAATGGACCGGGCATAACACTCTCTGATTCTAGAAGTTTTAGGCATCCACAGAATTCAAACTCTGGGCAGGCAGAGATCACAGCTCCAAACCTGTGAGCTTCCAGGGAGAGGCCCAGGTGCAAGGTGAGGATGAGCCGAGCCCTTGTCAGACCTACCGACAGCTGGTACTGCACATTGGATGTCCACACCTCCTCGTCTCCGACAATGCAGGGGATGGCTTCCGTCTGGCCCTTCAGGTCCTTCAGAGCCTGGGGAATGGGACAGAAATGTGGATGGGAACTTCCTGTCTCTCTTTGTTCCATGGCCCTCACGCCCTGGTGACACCCAGTCTCCCTGTTACCTTCTGCAGTGCGTCCCGCTCGGGGCTGCCCTGAGTGAACTCTAAGATAGGTTCATTGGCCACCTTCAGAGAGGAGGCGTGCCTCCACCGCAGCCTGGGAACGGAACAAGCATGGGAGGGGGGGAAAACAGACTGGTTAGCAGCCACTAAGTTAACCCCTGCATCAACACTGGTGGTCCCCGGCTGGCACAAAGCAAATCCAGGGTTTGGGGAGACAACTGGCTTTGGGTCTAAGACTTAGAAATCATAAGTCTAGTCCTGGGTGTCTTCAGGCACATGACTCACCTGCTCTGAGCCTGTTTCTACAGCCACTGAATGATATGAAGCCACACCCCCACCCCCACCCCCACCCCCACCCCCAAGTCATTTAGTATGTGTTGGAGGCCACTGTCTTTTTTTTTTTTTTTCTTGAAATTCACTCCACAAAGTCAGGCTTTCTCTACACTGAATGGGTAGCCTGTGACAGCCGATTCTTACAGTGTGAGCCAGCGAGATGCCCTCAGCAGAGGGCTGGCATTCAAGTGGGCAAGGGCATCAAATATAGACCAGGAACTTGGGAAGATTTGGCCTGGGTGCTGGGTGAAGCAGCAGGCAAGGCTGGTTCAGAGGACTAACGTCCTGTTCCTGAGGCCTGGTTGGTGAGTGACCTCCATCTCTTTCCTTGGTTAGTACAAAGACGGGAAGATAAAAGGAACAGCACAGCCAGGGCCCATCCTTCCAGAGCTAAAGCCCGCCCCTTCCGCTTCCAAGATGTGGGATGTTCCTGCAGGCCTCAGTTTGTTCTGTAAATGAGGACAGCTCCCAGGACACCTTAATGTTGGCAACAGTAACAGAACACAGCCCCAGGGCAGGCCTCACCAGCTGACCAGATAGCCGCTCCGAAGGAGTAGGTCAGCTGATCATTTTATAATGAAAATGACTAGCTGAAGACTGAAATTTAAAAAAAACTGAATTTGAGTCTAGACCAGCAGTTCTCAGAGTGGGTCATGACCACTTTGGGGGTCACATATGGGTCATGACCGCTTTGGGGGTCACATATCGGCTATCCTGCATATCAGCTATTTTACTGTTTATAACAGTAGCAAAATTAGTTATGACGTAGCAATGAAATTATGGTTGTGGGTCACCACAGCACGAGGAACTGTATTAGAGGGTCACAGCGTTAGGAAGGGTCACAGCGTTAGGAAGGTTGGGATCCACTGGTGCAGACAAAGCCAGGCCCCATGTGCTCTCGAGATGCTGGGGAAGGTATCCACGTGCCCGGGGCTCCGGCTGTATGCTCTGAGGGGACAGTCCAGAAAACCAGGAGTGCTCTCTCTGGGCCGGGTTTTGTGATGCTACAATTGAGCAAAGAAGCGACCCCTCTCCAAGTGCCTGGACTGCGCTTAGATAAAAGAGATCGCCGGGCGGTGGTGGCACACGCCTTTAATCCCAGCACTTGGGAGGCAGAGGCAGGCAGATTTCTGAGTTCAAGAGTTCGAGGCTAGCCTGGTCTACAGAGTGAGTTCCAGGACAGCCAGGGCTACACAGAGAAACCCTGTCTCGAAAAACCAAACCAAAAAAAAAAAAAAAAAAAAAAGAAGAGATCTCTCAGAGAAAAGCTGTAGGCTGGTCCTCCACCAGCTTAACCACATTTCAGCATAACCACGCTCACCAGGACAGAGCGTCCAGGCTGAGGGAGAGGGGTCATGTGTGTTTCTCCTTTCTCTATGAGAAGGAGTACAAAGGTCCTGTAGGTTTAGTCAGGGAGGCCTGGAGGGAGAAGAAAACAAACCCATGTGTGGTGGGCGTGGCCCAGAGGGCATATTCCAGGAGGAGGGCAGAACAGAGACGTGGGGTAAAAGCCCAAAGAGGGCTATAGGGTTGAGGACAAGGAAGATATTTGCTGACAAGATCTTCAAGAGGAGGGAAACTAAGCATCTGCCTGGAGGTAGTGAGGGGAGGTGTCCCCTCTCCCTCCACTGTCACACTCACAGGCCACGTCACATCCTTAGCCCCACCCTTGTCTGGCCAAAGACCCAGTCCTCCCTCCCGTTAGCCTCAGAACAGAAGACTGAGACCCATGAGGTGACGATGAAGACCAGACAGCTAAAAGAGGGCAAAGCTAGAGAAATCCGCCATGTCCCTGCCTCCTGTAGTCCTGGAAACAGGGAGAGAGGCGTTTGAAGTTTCTAGGGGCTGACAGTGGGAAGGTAAAAATCTACCATGTGGTCCAGCAGGCCTCCAGGCCTCCCCCAACCATCCACCATGTTGGACACTGCCATTTCTGGAAGCAGATGAATCAAAGCCAACATTCCCAGCCAGTCAAGATCCCTCTCCACCAGCATGGTTCTTCTACTCCTCCGGGAAGCCTGGAGTCTGCTTCCTCGGACCAAGAACACCACAGGGTACCTTCAAAGGTCACCTCCAGTTGTGCGTGAACATGCCAGGCATTCCTCGCCCACTGGCTCCAGAGAGACTTCCCAAGGCCCAAGGCCCAAGGCCCAGCAGTTTCCAAAGACACAACTCTGCCCGCAACCCCCCTAATCCCAACCCTCCCCGCCCCCACTCCTCCTGCCCCCCTTTGTCCCCCTCCCCCCACCCACCCACCCCCGCTTCTCCAACCAGGATCATACCCAACTCTGGTGGGAAAAAGTCAGCACATACCCCACCCACACAGGGTCTCTTCCCTGCTATCCCCCCACCTCCAGCCCCCAAAGTAATGCCAGAAACAGAAGTCCCACAGACCTCCCTCCACCCTCCCCAGGGCAGAGACTCACTGTGACCTCAGGCTCACAGAGGCTTTTCCAGGATCCTGGAAAATCTCCAGGCCCTGAAGAGGCTAGTTCAAAAATCAAGTTGAACCTGAGTCAAGTAGTTCCAAAAATAACAAGCCTTTCTCCCAACAGGCTCTTTTTCTGTTTTGGCTAGTGATCTGTCCTGATTTAACAGGCACCCCTCCAGTGGCTTGGACAAAGACGGAGGCAGATCACTCCACAAGACTTAAGGCTTCCAGGACAGGGGGTCTCAACCTTCTGAATGCTGCGATTCCTCACGGTGTGGTGACCCCCAGCCAGAAAATCATTTTTGTTGGTACTTTCGTAACTATAATTTTGCTACTGCTGTGAATCGTAATGTAAGTATATTTGGAGACAGAGTTCTGCCAAAGGGGTAGTGACCTGCATGCAGATTGAGAACCACTGCTCTAGGAGGATTCCCAAAGGCCTTTCTAGGCAGGATGGTTTTCCTCACTCATTCATTCACTCATTCTTTCCTTCTTTCATGCAGTCAGCACGGTTAGCCCACAGCAACAACACAGATTTAATCCACGCACCAGGTGGTTTACGTTCCACACATTTCCAAGCTCGACCTGGATTGCAATCCTCCCGCTGTGGAGAGGAAACACAGGACAAGAGGTCTGCACCCAACTCATGTTTCCTGGCAAACTGGGATAACCCTAGGGCCAGGGCCTGAGCCAGAAAGCTGTTTATTCTTCCCAGCAAGCTTCAGAGACCACATTCCCCTTCCCCACCTAGTGGCAGATGTCCTGATTTCCAGAAGAGTCTGAGCCAGCAAACTCAGCACTCAGGGGAGGAGGTGTGTGGAAGAGGGCGTGGCTCCACCCTGTCCGAGGTTCAAAGTGCCATCAGCTCTCAGGACAGTAACAGTAACGTCTCTCCACTATCTCCAGGCTGCATATGCCATAACCAAAGCTACACAATCATTCTGCCTCTCCAGTACCGGGGACCTGCTCTGAGGGACACACATGCTCTGAGGGACACACACCTAAACAACTTAGTCATTATGAGTGCACCAGAAAACACCCCCAGAGAAACCTCATGGATGCAGGCCGATCCAAGAGGACCTCTTTCAACCAGGGGATGCTGCAAAAGGGGCAGGCACGACACTGCCACACTACGGTACGACGCACCATTTTGCAGGCAGCAAAGTTTCTTATTTTTGAGACAGGGTCTCACGGCACATAGCCCAGACCAGCTCCAAAGTCACTCTGTAGAGGAAGATGACCTTGAATCTCCTCGAGTGCTGGCTGGGATTACAGGTTTGCTTGTCCATACCGGGTTTATACAGTGCTGTGGATGGAACTCAGGGCTCCAGGCGTGTTAGTCATCGAATGAGCGCGTCCCCAGCGCTCCGTTACCACTGCACAGGACTACCACCGGATAACTGGAGTCCGTGATTGTCTATACGGCAAGGTGGACTCTGGTTTATTTATTTCTAATGTGCCACAGCGTACACACGAAGATCAAAACACAATTTGTAAGAGCTGGGTCTCTGCTTCTGCCACATGGATCCTGAGAACCAATCAGGTGGTCAGGCTTGGCAGCGAGCACCTTCGCCTGGTGAATCAGCTTGCAGGCCCAAGCCCCAGATGTTAACATGAAAACCGGATCGAGGGAGACTCAAAACCACTTCAGGAGTCCTCAGGCTCATTCCGCATCACACATCCATTGCAGAAGCACAGCCGCCCCGGCTTTTCCTCAGACGTCCCACCACACTTGGATATCCCTCACAGGTGGGACCCCCATGTCTGAGGGGGTTCCTTTCCATCATCTCAAAGCCAAGCAGGGGGATTTGTGTCGGAGCCTGAACATCCGATCCTGAAGCAATCAGCAAGCTCCCAGAAGCAGCCCGTGTCTCCTCCAAGCACCCAGCACACATGGACCAGCTGAGAGAAAGCTGGAGAGGGAGCAACAAACGCACATGGGATGTGAGGGTGTGAGAGCCGACAGCAGACCTCCAGGACTGAGCTGGCGGCACGGACCCCCTGCCAGCTAAGTACCAGGTCGACAAGAAAGTAGAGGCTATCTTCCTCGATTCAGCCTCCTGTTTCCCAGCTGTAATCTGGAGCCTGATAAGGCAAATCCCCCTTATCACTCAATTAGGTGTAATTAAGGTAGCAGCGGTGGCTCCCGGGAAGGGAAATTACAGGCCCAGGGCGGGGCAGCCTTACATGAGCCACTTCACCTGGATGCCCTGGAAGACAGTGCAGATCATCCCCTGAGCTCTTAGGGTGCCGAGCACTGAGCGGAGTGAGGTACGGATACTGTCCTTGTGTTGTTTCTAATGCTGTGGTAAAATACTCAGACAAAAGGC